GTCTGTAAGCCTGGGGGCTAACCTTTCTCCTGCTCTGCGGGGCCTGTCAGCAGGCAGGAGCTGAGGCTGCTGGGACTCCGGGCCGGAATGCTGAGCAGGTTTCGGGAAGATACAGTCCTGAGGATGGGACAAACAAGAATGGAGGCAGGAGGTCAAGCGGGGCGCCCAGGCCAAGGGTCGTGATCAAACAGGACCCCAGGACGAGTCAGTGGATATAACCCTCCCAGCAGGGCAGGAGGATTTAGAAGAGGCCTGGGGACGGGGGTGAGGGGCTGGTTTAAGGGCAGCCAGGTGGAGATGCCAGGCCCAGACAGTACCAGGAGTCTGAGTCGGTCTCCCTGAAGCCCTTGGCAAAAGGGTTGCTGGCGATCTTCAGCTGGGTGATCTGCAGAGGAGAAAGTGTGGTTATGGGCCAGCCCCCAAGCCAGGGAAAGGCTGTGGGGCCCCAGGCTCAGCCACCCCTGGATGCCCTAAACAGGAGGCTCTGGGACCTGGGCCCCTCAGCCCGGGACCCATAGAGCCAGTGGGCACAAGGGCAGGGGAATGACCGAGGGCAGGGGTCTGCTGCGTCCTAGGGGAGGAGAGAGGGCAGGGCTCTGTGAGCTTGTGGGAGCCCAGAGCCTGGGGCCTCAGTCTCCGTCCCTGTGAAATGGGCCGGCAGCTGCCTGCGAGCTGTGGCCCCACCCACCCGGTGGTTCTGATAGGCTGTGACGGCCGTGAACTGGGTCTCCGTGAAGATGAAAGACTTGAAGTTCTCCTGCGCGTAGCGCTCGCTGTCCTTGCGAGGGTCCACGAAGACCACGTGGAAGCGGGGCTGGTAGCGGTGCATGGAGTTGAGAATGATCTGTGGGGGGTTGCGGAAGGCGGTGTGCAGGGGAGCAGCAGCAACCCTCCCGAGGCTAAGTCCTCTCTGGGGCAGGAAGAGGCGGGGGTGGGGGCGGGCGCGCAGAGTCTGGCGGGGGAGCCTGCGGTTCTGCAGCAAAGGCCCCTTGTGTCTGAGCGTCTCTGCCACTTTGCGTTCTCCCACATCCACGCCTCGCTGTCAGCTTTACTTTCGGAAATATCCAGAATCTGACCACCTCTGCCACCCAACCGTCTCCACCTGGCCTGGCTGCCATCATGTCCCCCTGGATTTCCTGCCTCCTGACTGGTCTCCCTGCGTCCTCTCAGCTTCCCTGTCCATTCTGCGCACAGCAACCCCAGTGAGCTGCAGCATGTCACCCCCGACTCAAAGGTCTCCTGTGCCCACTGCGTAGAGTAAAAGCCAGAACCCTCTCCACAGCCAGCTGGCCGTGCAGATCAGCCCTGGCAGCTTCAGGGTCTCTTTCCTTCCTTCTCCCTTACTCACCCCACTTCAGCTACATGAGGAGCCTCCTTGCACTTCCCCTTCACTGGCCAAACATTCTGCAACCTCAGCGCCTTTGCACTTACTGTCCCTTCCCCTGCAACAGCTCCCACTTCTGGTACACAGGCTCCCTTCCCCATTTCCTTTAGATCTCTCTTCAAATATTGCCTCAGTGGCTTCTAGAACCCCCTGAACGGAACTTTCACCTCTGTCTCAGCCCCCCCCCCCCCCGATTCCTTTTTCTCCTGGCATTTGTCACCATCTGAGACATTGCACACAGGGCAGTCTGGATTCTTTGCTCACCATCTGCATCCCTGCCCCATGGAGGCAGGGATCTTTGTTTGACAAAGTGACAACCATGCTGTATTCCTGCACCTACCATGGGCCTGGCCCCCTCTACAAAGAGGACAGTGTTTGCTGGAACATTCCCACACCTCCAGCCCACTTACCCACCTGCTTGGACAGTCCCCTCTGCTGTCCAGCCCACAGCCAGGTGAACTTCGCCCCCAGCATTGGTCATCAGTAGGAGGTGGGGGTGCTTCAAGGCTTCTGCGCATCAGAGGCACAGCTAGCCCTGGTCTCAGGCTTTGTTATGACCAGGCCCCAGTGTCCCCGGCCCTGGCCTAACCCCTCCCTACTGTGGCTGGGGCCTCACGTGGCCATTGTCGTCCAGCAGGTTGTTGGTCAGCTTGAGCTTGTCAAAGGACACAATCTGGCGCATCCACTGCGCGCCCTTGGCCGGCGAGTCCGGGTGGAAGTGCACACGACCTGGCGTGACCGGGTCTGCTTTGCCTGCCACCAGCCAGGCTGAACTGTGAAAGGCGTACCTGGGGAGCAGAGCAATGGCAGGGGTGCTCCATCTGCACCCCACAGCACTCATCTGCTGCCCCTACCTGGAGCCAGGACTGGCGGGACAGAGGGGCCGTCCCTCAGCATAACTGCCCATGCACTGTCCCCGTCTCGCACATGAGGATGGGAGAGCCCCGAACGCTGTCTGGCCTTGAGTTCCCTCTGCCTGCCCAGGCTAGCCCAGAGCTGGGCTCCCCCCTGCCATCGGGCTTCCACTGGTGCCCCAGGACTGACCTCCCTGCCACTGCTCCAACTGGCCCCTGGCTCAGCCCCTGCTATCTGAGCTGCTTCCCCGGCTAGCCCCCAGACCTGTATCTTTTGTCATCCAGAGGCACGAAGTCCATGAGTAGGGCGTAGTCCGCCAGCGTGTCCATGCCAAGGATCTTCACCTGGAAGGTGGGAAACATCCTCCTGCAGGGGACAGGTGCTCAGCAGCCCAAATGCGGCTCCAGCATGGCCCCCTGTCCCCACCACGCAGGCCCCCACTCTTCACACCTGCCTGCCTTGGTGACAATCATCTCTGTGCCCAGCTGGTTGAATTCCTCCCAAAGAGCCTTCATCTCCAGCTGAACTGTCACGCTGGACACACGTGGGTTCTTGGGGCCCTGCTTGCTGGGCTCGACTGTGGCTTGGGCCCCGGTCGAAGGGTCTGACGAGAATGGGGAGTCCAGCCGGGGCTCCCAGCTGGAGCTGGTCATGGGCAGGGTGTAGGGCTCTGAGGACGCAAGTACCCCGAGGCCAGCAGACAGGAAGGCTGGGGAGAGAGGGTGAAGTGTGGGCCCCTCTTGGCCTCACCCTTATGCCACCAAGCCAGCTCCTTCAGGCTGCACTTAGGTGCCTCTTCCTCCAGGAAGCCCTTCCTGACTGCCAGGCCTGTGTTCCCATAGTGCCCCTGACTGCGCATCACTTCATGAGGTAATTGCTGACTTAAAGCTCCTGGAGGCCAGAGACAGGGCCTGTTTCCCCAGGGAGTCTTTGAGTCATCAAGTGACCTCACGGCCTTAAGTTGTTTCACTTCCCAGGCCCTCAGTTTCCATATCTGTCACAAGGGGTTCTTAATACCTGCCTCACAGGGTCAACGTGAGGATTTGTGAGGACGCATGCAGTGCCTGGCACACAGCAGACCCTTTAAAAAGGACCCCTGTTATGCATGATAGGATATGTGAGGTTGTGGGAGTTGGGGATGAGCGTCTTAGCTCCGTGGGAACCCAGCTGCCCGGTGCTGCTCCAGGAGATCTGAGCCAAGAGGAGATCCTGGAATCACCACTGGAGACCCTCACCCATGTCTAACTTCAAAAACCTGCCGAGACTCTAACTCTGGCAGCCCATCCTAATGTCTTTCTGCTCTGGCCTCCTCACTTTTTCCTAAAAATGCCATTTAAAAAAAATGATTTTATTTACTCATGAGAGACACATAGAGAGAGGCAGAGACATGCACAGAGGGAGAAGCAGGCTCCCTGCAGAGAACCGGATGCAGGACTCTATCCTAGGCCCCCAGGATCACGACCTGAGCCAAAGGCAGATGCTCAACCACTGAACCACCCAATTGTCCCCAAAATGCCATTTTCTTAATGTACAATCCTGGCACAAGCCTTAGCCAAAAGTTTTGCCACCTTCTACTCTTAAAAAAAAAACAACTTAACTACAATGAGATACTACTTTACGTCTGTAAGGATGGTTATTACCAAAAACAAAACAAAAAGGAACAACAAAACAAAAACAAGTGTTGGTGTGGACGTGGAGAAGTTGGAGCCCTGTGCATTGCTGGCCACATGTAAAAAGGTGCGGCTGCTGGAACATAAAATGACTGTATGATCCAGCAATTCCATTTCTGGGATCAAGGACCCTAACGGATATGTGTACATGAGTGTTCACAGCAGCATTAATCCCAATAGCCAGAAGGTGGAGGCACCTCAAGTGTCCGCTGATGAAAGAATGGATGAGCATAGTATGGTCTATCCAGACAATGGAATATTATTCCTCCTTAAAAAGGAAGGACATTCTGCAGTATGCTACAGCATGCATGGACCTTGAGGACGTTATGCCAAGTGAAATAAGCCAGATAGACACAAAAGGACAAATCCTGTGTGATTCCATTTATAAGAGGTCCCTAGAATCCTCAGATCCATCCACCAGGAGTAGCATGGTGGTTGCCAGGGGCGGAGACCACGGGAGGGAGAGTGAGCGTTGAATGCGGACAGAGTTGCAGTTTTGCAAGATGCAAAAGTTCTAGAGGTAGATGGAGGTGATGAGTGCACAGCAGTGTGAATGTACTTAATGCCATCAGAATGTCCACTTAAAAAATGGCTAAAATGGAAATTTTTATGTTCTGTACCTTTTAACACAATATAAAAATTAAAACCAGAAAAAAAAATCCTGAAAAACAGACTATTAGTCTGTAGCAGCCCCCAAAGGGCCTAGAGCCTGGTAAAACTGAGATCCCCTGGGCAGATGTGGATTTTGGTGTTGGATGGATGGACAGACAGATGGGTGGAAAGAGATTCCTGGGGTGGTATACGTGTCATGAGCTAACAGTTGGACAGCGCCTGGCCAGGGCTGGCACACCGTAGGTGCCTCATCTGAGTGTGGGGCTCAGGGCTCGTGGCCCCATATTTAGCAGCCCTGAGGACCACAAATGAAAGGTGACACCTCACTAAAGCCCCCAGGAGTTCGGCAGTCTGGGAGTGGGTGGGTCTCTCTGAGAGGGGATGGGCCACACTAGGTGTGCGTCCCCCAGAAGGGCATGAAAGGAGGATGGGTTGATGGCCCCCACCACCCGGACCAGGCCATCAGACAGGCCCATTGTTCAGCTGCCCTGTTGCAGATCCACCATCCACGTAGCTAGCGCCAGCTCCAGGATCCTGTGGGTCCCCAAGGGAGAGGCTCATGGCTTCCCTGGGCCTGGGGCCTTTGCAGGCTGGTCACCCATCCCCTGCCCCTCTAGGTCAACATGCTACCCCTGAGTGCACTCGGGAACCCAGGAAGGGCCTGTCCCTTCCCTTGGGGTCAGGATTTGACAATTTCCCACAAGCATGGAGTCAGGTTTGAAGGGGAAGTTAGAGGTTTCTTGTCTGGCCCCCCACCTCGATACTCAATGGGTAAGGCCCAGAGAGGGGAGGGGACAGGCTCAGGGTCATCCATGCCTAAGAAGGCTGTCCCTTTCCAGAAATGACTCATTACCCCACCTGTCAGTACCCCCCATATTTGTACCCGGGTGAGCCCATCAACCCTGCCCTGGTGGGATCTGAGACTCAATGTGGGGAGCCCCTGCCCCATCCTCCTGCCTAGAACCCGGGCCTAGCGGGGTTTCTTTGGTCCCCACACCCGGTCCCTGCCCTGCCCCATTCACCCTGGAGCCTGAGCCCAGCCACCGGATCACCTTGGCTGCCTGCACCATACCTGCCATGGGGACAGCCTGGACGTTGGTTCCCGGAGGAGGGCCGGCTGCCGCTGCCACCCAAGGGGGCCCTGCCCGCTGGGAGGATGGTCAGCCCCTCCTGGTGTCCCGGCCCAATCAGCGGCACAGCTCCGTTCTGCAGGACTGTCCTTCCCTCCGAGCGATCACTCAGGTCCCACTTCTCCACCGGAGCCAGGCACCGGGTCTCTGCGGAGGGGGCCCCCGGTTCTGGGGGTATGCAGGGCCCCTTGTCCAAGCCCCACTCAGAATGGACTGCACGAGGCTGCTGGCTGGGCTTGTCCAGCTCCAGGCGTGTGCTGTGTGGGAGGAGGGCAGGTGGGAAGAAGGCTCTGACGTTGCAAAGCCTCCTCTCCCCCTCCCGGCCCTCTCTCCCAGCTCCCTCTGTTCCCCAGCTCGGAGACCCCCAGCCCTCCCAATCAATGGACCCAGACGCAGGGTGGGGGCCCATCTTGAGGACCTGCTGGGGCCCAGGCCTTGTGACAGGAGGGGCTCGGTGCCTAAAGGGCCTGGGGGCAGCTGGGGAGGCCTCGGGAGCCACAGGAGCTTGAGGGCTGGATGGCAGAGGTGGTGCCCTCTCACTGGGACCCCATCCCTGACCTGGGGCTGCTGGTATGGCGTGGCCAGGAAACTGGGGCAGCAAACACAAGGGGGCAGCACCAGCAGTGGAGCCCCTGGACTGGGAGGCAGGAAGCTGGGGCTTGCCCATGCTCTGACTCATGAGCTGTGCAATGCTGCTGGATTCCTGACAGTCTTTGTGCCTCGGTTTCCCCAACTGTAGTAAGTGCATACTCTCTCCTATCTGGGATGGACAGTGGTGAGCTGTTTCTATCCTGACAGTGCCTGCGTAGTCCCCACAGGGTGGGAGCCCGGCCCAGGTCAGGGGTCACCGGGGCAGGTGTCTGCTCTGCCCAAGGTCTGTGTGCTCTATCCAGCCTGACCAGGCACCTTCTCCAGGCTGCCCCTGCTTGTCTGGGCTGGCCATTAGGGGACACACTGACACACAGGTCAGGAAGGCAAGAGGGGCGGGGCTACCCCCAAACTGGTTGCTATCAATTGATAATGCTGTTTGGCCATTTCATCCCTGCCATATGGCCCAGGGAGGGTTATCAGGCTAGACCCCAAGCTAGCCCTCTCTGGGAGTGGGTATTCCAGCCCCCAGGGCAGCACTAGGCGACAGCACCTCAGCTGTGCTCTGCATACTTGACTTGGGTCCCCAAGGCAGGCGAAACAGCCCCCCAGCACATCTCCACTGGGGACGTGGGGCAGGCAGAGGCCCATACTTGGGAGTGGGCGTGGAGGGACCAATGGTCAGAGGGGCTGCTTTTTCCACGATGACACCCCAGCTCCCTCTGGAGCCTCATGCCAGGGGGTAGACCTCTCCTCCCTTCAGCTTAGGGATGCCCCTGCCTTGGTCTCCTACACCCCAGATCCCTGCCTGCTGAGCTGGGAGAGGTGGGTGGACCCCTGGTGCAGAGCCATGCCCAGTTTTGGAGTTTGCTCTGGGGCAAGATCGGGGTGGGGGGTGCAGTTCTCTGTGCTTGTGAGGGTCCCAACAGCATTCAGGGGCCACCCAGTGGGGTGTGGCCAGCCATGCCGCACTGTCCCAGGATCCACGGTGGGGCCAGTGGGAGAGGGGAGAGATGGTGGAGGGGCTTGGGAGATTCACACCAATCCTGGGGGGGCACCCCCTCAGCCAAGGCTCCCAGGAGTGGGCTGGCCCGGGGTTCTGGAGGCTACTGATTGTGTGTGTGTGTGTGTGTGTGTGTGTTGTGTGTGTGTGTGTTGTGTGTTGTATGTGTGTGTGTGTACGTGCTTGCATGCAGCTCTGATTTGTGTGATGGGAAACACCCCCTCACAGTATTTGAGCACGCTGACATGCCGACCCACATGCACACAGATGAGCTCTAGACCTGATGCCCATAATCTCTCGTGTGCACGCATGCACAAGCTCCTGTGTGCATGGATATACATGCTCTCTCTTGCACATACACCATGCACACAGGCGCGCCCCTCTGCACAACCTCCTCTCTGGCTGGCCTGTCCTTCCTGCCGGAGGCGCCTGCTGGCCCCCCTGCCCCCTCATCCATCTTGCCTGCCAGCCTGTCCCTGGTGTCCCCGTATCCTTCACACCTTCTCATCTCGCTGCTCAATAGCAGGAGGCCACATGGCAGCTGTGGCCGCAGGGAGATGGATGGGCCAGGCAGGGGTGCAGAGGGGTTGGGGAGTGATACCACCCATGCACGGAGCTCTGGGCCCCCCAGACACCCTGTGAGGCTCAGGTTGCTGTGGAAGCTGTCAAGTTGTGCCGTTTGGCCTGCGTGGACGCCCTGAAGAGTGCCTGGATCAGGACTGAGGAGACCCCAGCAGCAGACCTTGTGCCTGCTTCCTCCTGGGGTGCTGAGTAGTTCCAGCCTCCCTGGTCGGACTTCCCCTACCCCTGGATGGGCTATCCCACCCCTTCCCCAGCCCTGACTCCCCCTGAGCCCTCATGGGCACATTGCACATTGGAAATGCACGTCTGGGCTGTGTGCCCAGCCACATAGAGATCCCCCCAGAAGGACCCCCAAGGTACTGAAGCTCTTGGAACGCATGTGTGTGACTTGCTAAAGGTCACACACACACAACACCCAGGCAGGCACACGCATGGTCACCCACACATGTGTGCATACACATGGGCACATGCTTCTGCCCTCTCAGACTGACTCTCTGGCCCTGGGGGGTTGGTGGGGGGGGCGGTGGGCTCTATTGTCTCCAGCACAGTTTTTCTACAAGTGGGATCCTCCCCCTGGAACCACCCTGGGGTAGACCTGCCCCAGATGCTGAGGTCACAGAAGGACCATGCAGGACAGAGGATATGAATCATTAACCCCACATATCTTCCATTTTATAGAGAAACTGAGGCACGGAGGTATGGGGCATAGCAAGAAACATGGTATTATAGTGGGTGGCAAAGGGGGCCCCTGGACTCAGGACTGTGACTCAGGACACATTGTTCGGATGGGAGAGCTGAGGCTGGGTGGATCTGGGTGGGGGTTAGGGCCCTGAGGTGGGGGTGAGGGCCAGCACCGGCAGGGCAGGCACAGAGTGGGAGCTTCTCAATCTGGATGACAGCCATGCCGTTCTCATAGTAGGCGGCCTCATTGATGAACACGGGGTACACAGTGGACTCCCCCTCAGAGAGCACATCTTCATCACTGAACATCTGGAAGATGGGCATCCCGGGCAGCAGCGGCTGGGAGTCTTGGGCCTGGGAAGAGAGCCGCAGACCAAGGTTGCTGGGGCCCACCTCTGCCCTGACCACTGGGGGTGTGTGACCCCAGCAGGCACTGCCCAAGGAGCCTCTCACTTATGGCCTTGCCCAGTCACTGCTCTACTTCCTCAGTTGATGCCACACGCTGTCTGCTGAGATGCCAACTGGCTCTGTGTTTAGAAATGGAGACGCAAGTTGCCTTAGAATGACAGTTGCCATTGCGGAAGTGTAGCCTAGCGTTAAGGGCATAGATAGTAAAGCCTGGGTTCAAATCCTTGCTAGCTATGTGACCTTGGGCAAGTCACTTAACCTCTCCGTTCCTCAGCTTCCTTGTCTGTAAAATTGGAACTATAATATCTTCTCCTATCACCCTGAGGTTTCAATTAAACAACTAAGTGTCTGACACATAGTAAATATAATATAAAAGTTTATCATCGTTTTAAATTGTGGGAGAAATCAGAGGCACTTGGGTGGTGCAGTTGGTTAAGTGGCCAGCTCCTGGTTTGGGCTCATGATCTCAGGGCCTTGAGATGGAGCCCCACATCAGGCTCCGCCCTCAACATGGAACGGGCTTGAGTTTCTCTCCCTCTGCCCCACCCACTTGTGCTCTCTCTCACTCTCAAATAAATAAAAAATAAAAATTGGGGCGCCTGAGTGGCTCAGTGGTTAAGCATCTGCCTTAGGCTCAGGGTGTGATCCCAGAGTCCTGGGATCGAGTCCCACATCCAGCTCCCTGCCTGGAGCCTGCTTCTCCCTCTTCCTATGTCTCTGCCTCTCTCTCTGTGTCTCACATGAATAAATAAATTTTAAAAATCTTTAAAAATAAATAATAAAAATAAATTATTGTGGAAGAAATCACTCACAATAATTGCCACGGCTTAGCATCTTCCAGGAAGATAGCCCCAGCCCTAAGCACTGAAAAGATGGTGCCCAGCCCATCACAACGCTGTTACAAGTAAGAGAACACCTCAAAATAAAACACAAAGCTGTAATAAGAGCAAAAAAAATCCAAGTTCTGATTTTTCCTACAATTGTTAACTTGGTTCTTTGAACAATTTTTGAAATGTCAAATTCTTTGCAATATTTCTTTCTCTTTTGTGCCTAGCTCTGCTGTGCCCTCAGCACATGCCGGGTCAGCTTGCTGGGTCACCCCCAGGCCAGGCCATTCCCACGGCTGGGGGCTCGGCTGGCCTGAGGAGCGGGTGGGCGGCTGTCCCCTGCAGGGATGGACGGGGCAGTGGAAGAAGGAGGTGGAGGCCCCTGGGACAGAGACCCACCCTTGCAGAGGTATTACATTTGGTCATCTGTGATACTGAGGGGGTTCCCACTGGCTGGAGAGGACCCCGCTGGCCCACAAGGACTCCTTTGAAGGAGGGCTCGTGGCTCCCCACGGGGCTCAGGGGCAGGTCTCTGTGGCGGCCTGGGGAGGACTGGTGCCAACAGAGTATGTGCCCGCCCCCAGGCCTCTCCCGCCCCCCAAGGCCAGTTGGGGAAACAGTTACTAAAGAAGCTAGGGCTGGGCCCCCAGCGTGGCAGCCCTGCCGCCTGGACACTGCAGGACACAAGGGCCCCAGGGGCGGGGAGCTTGCACCTTGCCCTACAGCGACCTCACGGGTGGCAGGCAGAGCCGGTGGGCGGCGCGCTCTGCCCCATCTCCTCCTCCCTGCGGGGGTCGCGGCAGGATTGTCAGATCCCCGCAACATTCGGGACGGGAGGTCTGCAGAAGGACTTGCTAGATTCCCTAACCTGCAGAAGGACGCTCGAGGAATTAATTGGGAAACAGAGAGGGTTCTGTATTTGTGCCTCCAAGCAGGTGAACTGGGCGGTGGCCGCCCCACAGCCTCGCCCTCCGCCTTCTGCGGCCTCCGGGAGGCTCATCCAGGCTTTGGGGGACCCCCCCACCCCGGCCGCTGCAGGCACTGTGCAGATCCCTGTGGCCCGAGGGCCAGGCTGGTTGTGGGCTTCCTGGGAGGCAGTAGGGGCAGGGCGTGTTCTGATCCCAATGACCCTGTGGGAGGCACCTGGGGTCCCTCCTGGGGCTCAGTTTCCTCTGATACCCAAGCTGTGACCCAGGAGTCTCCCCACCACAGCACAGACCCCGGCAGCTGAGGATGCGCAGTGCCTGCCAGGTCTCCAGACTCGGTGCGCATGCGAAGTCCACGCTGCCCACGGTTCTGTTTGCTTCCATCTCAAAAGCAGGAAAGGCCATGCTTGTGCCCAAGACTGGGTGTGTGTGTCTGTCCCTCCCTCCAGGCCCAGGACAGAAAGGGCTGTGGGGGCCACCCAGGGCTGGTGGGTGGTCTCAGCCCAAACGTGAACCTGGCTCCCTAGCCCCTGGGCCTGGCCTTCGCCTCTCTAGGCTTCAGTTTCTCCCCAAATCCCAACAGTCTCACCCTGATTGAAGAGCTCAATAAATTCCAGGACTTAGGCGACCAGGGTCTTCATGGTCTGCCTGCAGCAGGCCCTGAGGCTGGGGTCCCAGCTCCAGGGCTGGGGACTGGGAGGGGAGGGCTCAGGAGGGTGTCCCAGAGAGGAGGGCTCTGACCCCCAGGCCCTGACCTTGCCCATCATCTGGCCTCGCCCTTCTAGGCCCTGCCCCCTCACCCAGTTATCCTGAGGTCCCAGCCCACCCATTACTTCCTTGGGTGTAACTCTTCTCCCCTGGCAGCTGGTACAGAAAGACTGGGCAGGGGTCCTGCCACTGAGGGGCAACAGAGGTGTGCAGATCCCCAGGCCACCTTGGGAGGCTTGGGGAGGGCATGGAGGGAGCACCGGGGCACCACCCACCACAGCCCAGCTTTCTCCACCCTCTGGCAAAAGCGGGGAAGGAAGGGACCAGAGGGCTTGAAGCATCTACAGGTGGCAGGCCCCCAGCGAAGGGAGCCCAGGGAAGGGAAACCAAGCTGAGGAGGCACTGGATGCCCCCTACCCCCATCCCTCACTTTGTCCTCTGAGGGGGCAGGGCCACCAGAAGGTAGTGGCACAGGTGCATGGCAGAGACCTTGTGGACAGCTTCTGTGATGAGACAGGTGCCCATGCTGGCCGCAGTGGTGTGTGGATCAAGGGCAAAGTTGATCGCCCTGCCTGAGGCCTTGGGCCCCAGTAGCTGGCTCGGCTCTCAGGCCCTTGTCACCTTGTATGGGTCATCTGGGTTGGCCCTGGCACTGCAGCAGCAGGAATGGGGTATCACTGTCTCTCAGTCTCAGTTAGTGATCAGGGGTTTAATGGGAGGAGAGCCTCACGCTGCCCGCAGGAGTGAAGCCTCCGAGACCCTGCAGGAGAGACAGAGCAGCTCCCTCAAGGGCTCTTCTTTTGTGCCTGCTTAGGCCCCTCGCTGGCTCCCCTCTGGCCCTGTCAAGTCCAAACCCTCAGCCCAGCCCTACCTGCCTGCTCACCCACCTCATCAGCTCTCACTCCAGCCACACTTCCAGGCCTTTGCACATGCTGGGCCCTTCCCTGGAATCTCTTCTCTCTTCATCTAGTTAACTTCTACTCACCCTTTGGAGCTTGGCTGAGATACCATCTCCTCCAGGAAGCCTTCCCTGCCTACCCTTTGGTCACATTAGATGCTTCATGTTGCCTCCACCCCTACATTTAGTTTCCTAGGTTGTGGTTCCTGGGTTCTTCCTCTGTCTCCCCCAGTAGGCTGGGGATAACTCCTTGGGCTTATAACCCCCATTTCTTCACCTGAGCTGGACAAAGTCTGGCTCAGAGATGGGGTTCAGCAAATATCTACTGGAGGATGGTGTGAACAGTAGTTGGGGCACAAGACAGGCAAATACAGCCTGTGGGTTGATCTGAGGCAAACCTTGGGTGTGCGGAACTCAGGAGGTCAGAATGGGCTTCCTCGAAGAGGTAACATTAGTGTGGATCTCTCTGAACTGGAAAGGGAAGAATGAGCATCTCAGGTAGAGGGTGGAACCTGGGGGCTGAAGGGGACCATCTGAGATGGGGACTTCAGTGCCAGGCTGAGGAGCTGGGCCAGCCCGGTAGGCAGGGCTCCCCAGTGGTGAGGACCGTCCACGTGAGGAAGGTGCTGGTGAAGGTACAGCTGAGGTCACGGCCCATGTATCAGAGGCAGGCAGTGTGGCCACCGGGTTCGCCAGCACAGGCCCGGTGGAGAAGCCAAGTCTCTTGAGCTCCCCCAGGGCTAGCAGCCTGTGCTGGGTCACACCTCTGAGTCCCAGGAAGCAGGGGGGATCCCCAGCCCTGGGAAGCTCTGACACCCATCCCTGACAAGCTGATCCAGTGCCTTCTCTTCCAGGGCTTTGGCTCCTGCCTGTGGAATGGGAATGAGGCTCTCTCCCAGCCTGGGCAGATATGAGGAGTGAAGGAGAAAAAGGCACAGTCACACGGGCTGGGAAGACACTTAAGCACAGCAGATCTAGGCATGGCCAAGGGCAGAGGCATTGTGAGGGGTAATGAGTCCCACTGCTTCACTACAGCTGGGGAAACTGAGGCCCAGAGTTCCTCCATCACCCCAGGACCACGCTGCCCCCTTCCCTCCCGCTGGCCTGGTGTCCTGAGGTAGGGGTCCACATGTAAGCCTTGGGGCGACAGGACTCTGGGCAGCTAACAAGGAGAGGCTTCCATCACACCCCCAAGGTTGTGACAGAGCCCTGGGAAGCTCTGGGACTTGTGTGCCCAGGGGACCTTGGTCCCCAGTGCTGGTACAACTTCCGAGGGAGTCTGGGTTCCACTGTGTCCCAGAATGGGGGCCCCTGGACCTCAGACACACGTGGTCCCATTAAACCCTCACACCACTTCTAAGAGGGGAGTGGGAACCCCATTGTAGAAGAGAAGGGAACGGAGGCCCAGAGAAGGGGAGGGACAGGCCCGGAGCACCTGGTACTGAGGTGAAGTGGAGACTTATGAACCCAGCTCTCTAGAAGGGGGAGCTGCTGCAAGAGGGTGGGAGAGGCAACGCCTAAGGGGAGGTGGGGACAGGGCAGGGGTAGAGGGAGGGTGTGGGGGCAGAGCGAGCAGCTGAGCCAAGGACTGAAGGAGTTCAAGCTTCTCTGAACAGTTCTGCGTTACTGGATCATAAAAAGAAGGACAAAGTTTTGTTCCGTCTTTGGATGACCCCGTGTCCGGGACTGGGCCTGCTCAGCCATGCCCGAGAGGGGGGAACAGGCTGGAACCAGGCAGGGTGGAGGCAACAGGGAATGCTTGTCGCATCTTATGGCCTCTCCTGAGGGCCTTCCCAAGCTAGAAGTGGAAAGCTCCCAGCAGGCTCTTGCAGATAGGATGCAACCATGAGACGCGGCTCCACCAGTTAGAGGCCACCAGAGTTGCATTCTGGGACTGCTCTCCCCACGGGGGTCCCCCGGAGCCACATTTCCCTTGGAGACTTTGTGCCCTATCTGAACCACAGCAACCAAATGGCCGAGAGGGCGAATAAGGGAATAAGACTGGTTGGTGAGGGCAGCAAAATCCCCCGAGTCTTCAGTGAGCGATCTCTTCTGTTCTCTGCTCACCGGCCCCCATGACTCGTGGCTCGGAGACCCTGTGATGCTTCTCCATCTCGCTGACTTCCTTCTCTGTCCAGGTCTCAGATGACTTTCCTGGGCAGGGCTGGGGAGGGAAGGCATCTCTTAGACCCAGGCCCATTGGATACTCAGCTTCTACCTGGGTCACCTACCCACCCATCAGTTCACTCAACTGACCATCATCTCATCCATCCATTCACCCTGCCACTCACTTGCCCTTCCATCCACCCATTGTCTCATCTACTCATTCTTGAGGAAGGTCATGGAAAAACAGCACTGCCAGTTGAACCATGCACTGGCCCCAGGCACTTGGAGGCTCCTCACCCCCTCCTCCGTCCTTGGAATGTGGATTTGACCTGCCTTTCCTGCTCCTGAAGGCTCAGACCTGCACACTCTACCCGACTGCTCAGTTATGCCCTTTTTCTATATAAACTTGGAAGATTTGGCAGGCAGCGAGGGGATCCACTCATCTTGCTGCTGCCTGCGACAAGCCGCATATGTAAGTTCAGTGCCCGGCCAGAGGCTGCGGCTCCAGTGAGGTCGTTGGAATTGCTGAGGTTGTGAGGTGTCCACTGTTTGGCCGGCTTCAGGCCAGTGGATGGGCTGGGAGGGAGAGCTCAGGGTGCCACCTGCAAGGCTGGAAGGCTGCAAGCTGCCCCCAAGGAAGATCGGGGTCACTATGTGTGACAGCGCCTGCCTGAGACGCTAAGAGGTGGGTCTCTGAGAAAGGGAGGAAGATGAAGGGAGAATGTTATGCCGGTTGTCAAGGAAACAGACGAACTGCTCCATGCTTTGTAAACCTCATGTAACAAAAACTGTTTTTTTTTTTTTTAAGATCTTATTTATTTACTCATGAGAGACACACACATAGAGAGAGAGAGAAAGAGAGAGAGAGACAGGCAGAGGGAGAAGCAGGTTCCCCGCAGGAGCCCGATGCAGGACTCAGTCCCAAGAATTAAGAGTAGGGTTAGAAGTGAGCTCTCAGGATGAGGACTAGGGAGAGTAGTGGTCTAATATGTTCTGATTACTGATCCCCCAGCTCCATATTTCTCAGAACACTCCCCCCCACATCATTCAGCTCTGCCCTGCTTTCCTGTATACACTCAGTTCAGCCCTGCCCTGTCTCTAGACCTCAGTATCTCCATATGTCAGATGAAGTGGCTAGACTTAGACTCTGTCCACCGTGACCTCCTTCTGGGAGTCTACGGGAAGATGACAAACATGTCCAGAATGTGCATGACCCCCTCATGTGCCCATGGCAGACATGTCTAACCAACCCTTGCACTCCTTCCTATTGATTCCACCCTCCCAAGGGATCAGGTTCCTTGCCAGTGATACATGTCAGGGCGACATTAGCAATTAGCCAGATCCAGGCTTAAAATCAGATCACTTTAGGTCAAAGGTCATTCACACCAGCTCCCCAAACCAGGTGTGAACAGAGGTGTTAGAAGCCACTTTGCATTTTGGGGATCCTCTTGGAAGCAACCCAGGCCAGGGAATTGGAGGTGGCAGTGGCGGCCGCACTGAGGTTTTGGCCATAGCTCGATCTTGGGTCCCCTCTCCAGCAGCTCCCACCCATGGACTGCTTCCCCACCCTGGCTTCCCATCCCCTCTCTTGCTATTAAAAAAGGAAAAGAAATGGCCCTGTATCCTGGGAGCCTAATTGTAGATCTGATACAAGTGAGTCCTTTCTAACCGTAAGAGCTCCATCACCAGACACATCCAAGCAGAGGGTCAGTGAATCTGTCGGGAGGCTGCAGAGAGGACTTTGGCTCTGAAAACTGCTGGATCAGAGGCCCAGAGGTCCTGACTAGCCAGGGAACTGTTGAGACAAAGCCTCAAGAATAGGATCTTTGCACTCCTGGACAGGACACCTACCTTTCAGGGACCACTGAACACTTGTGAAGTATCAAGAGAGAGGGGTGGTGGGGTAGGGCGTTGGAGGTGCCCAGGGAGCTCACAGAAGGGAGCACCTGTGGGAGCCCAAGACCCAGGTTATCAGCTTCTGGCTGTGGGCAGTGTAGGGCGGGTAGTGGAGTTTGTTGAACTTCTCCAGGCCCGATGAGGAGAGCAGGTTGGCACGGTGGTGGGAGAAGGTGTCGAAGGAGAACTTGCCATGTATCTTCCTATGCCACTGTTACCTGTGCAGGCACGGAGGTGAGGGCCGAAGGCCAGCAGCCCACCCAGCCGTAGCAGCAGCCCACTGCCTCAGCAGGAGCCCACAGCTGGCAGGGAGCTCTGGGAAAGCCAAGCCACTCAAAGAGTCATTTTGCAGATAAGAAAACCGAGGCTTTGAGAAGTCCAGGGCCTGGATCAAGGTAGAACAAAGAGTCAAGGGAAAACTGGGCCCTCCCAGAATGGGAGTACCAACCCCAGGCTTGGGGTTGGGGGTGGGGGTGGGGGCGGGGGCTCTAGAGGAGGGCAGGTCTCACCAACGACCCCCAGCGGCAAGGTCGACAGAGTCAGGTGAATGAAGCCCTGGTTGCCTCCGAAAATGCCGCTGCTGGTCTGATTGAGCATCTGGGTCACTACCTGGGGGAGGTAGAAGAGGCCAGGTGGCAGGCTCTTCATCAAAGGAAGAGGGCTTGGGCCTCCGACCATTGCACAGGGGGCAGAGGGACCTCCCTGTTCCCATCCTCTACTGAGCTGTGTCCCCGTGAACACTGCACATGGAGGGGAGACCGTGACTGCCAGAAGTGGCACTGAGGGCAGCCAGTGCCTGCGATGGCGCACAGGCCCCACTGTGGCCAGCCTGGCTCTGCCTGTCAGGTCCCAGCTCTGCTCTGCCCCCACCTCCCTCCAGGGCCTCTGCTTGCCCACACAGAGCTTTTGCGTGGTTTAGGAAGACGGGGCTCTCTGGGCAGCAAAAGGCACCTCACCTCTTGGTGGAAGCTGCCCCGGCCAGGGCAGATGGCTGGCCGGCCCCCCATCCACCAGGAGCGCTTACTCAGGGAACCGTGTCCAGGTGACGCTGCCCTAACCTTCCCAGTGGGCTGTGACGGGCAAGGCCAACAGTCTGCCCCGTGTTCAGCCCCTTTCTCGTCCAGCCCTGCCCGCGCCCCACCTGGCTGCTCCTGGAGAAGGCGTACAGGGCCAGGGGCTTCTCCCGGCGGTTGATGAAGTCGATGGCCTCGTCCAGGCTCCTCACGTTCACGATGGGCAGGATGGGGCCGAAGATCTCCTCCTGCATCACCGGCTCCGTCTCCTGCACGTCCACCAGCACCGTGGGGGCTGCGGGCACAGGGGAACAGGGTTCGGGCCGGGCCGGGGCTCGGGGCCTCCTGGGGAGGCGGCGCGGGGCTCTCGGGTCCTGGGGCGCGGGGGGTGGCGCCAGCCCCGGGGAGTGGGTCCGAGGGGCGCGGCGCGGGCGGGGGCAGGGCGGGGCCGGGCGGGGCGGGGCGGGGGGGGGGCAGAGGGGGGACAGGGCGGGGGCAGGGTGCGGCGCGGGCGGGGCAGAGGGGGGGCAGGGCGTGGCCCGGGCGTGGCAGGGCGGGGGCAGAGCGGGGGGGGGGGGGCAGGGCGCGGCCAGGGCGGGGGCAGGGCGCGGCCCGGGCGGGGCAGGGGGGGGCAGGGCGGGGCAGGGCGGCCCGCTCACCGATGTAGCGCTCGCCCTCATCGCTCTGGCCGCCGATGGCCACGCGGCCGCAGCCCAGCAGGCCCCGCAGCCGCCGGAAGTGCTTGTCGCTGACGACGCGGCCCAGGCTCGGGGAGCCCCGCGGGTCCTCGCCGTAGAAGCGGGTGATGGCGCTCTGCAGGGCGGGCAGCAGCCGCTCCTGCATGTGGGGGCTGCACAGGACGTAGTCGGGGGCCACGCACGTCTGGCCGCAGTTGAAGTAGCGGAACCAGGCCACGCGGTTGGCCACGGTCTGGGGGTCGCAGTCGTCGTCCACGTAGCAGGGGTTCTTGCCCCCCAGCTCCAGCGTGACGGGCGTCAGGTGCTTGGCGGCGGCGGCCATGACGATCCTGCCCACTCGGGGGCTCCCTGGGAATGTGGGAGTTGACCCCCACATGCTCAACCAGATGGTCCAGGCAGCCACCTCCTCTGTCCCATTGTAACTTGTCTGCTGGGACCTGCCCTAGGCCCTGCTGCCCCAGCATTCCTCTCTCAAGGCCCAGGGGCTGAGCATCTGGAATGCCCCCCGCTGCTGGCCATCACCTCTCCCTCCAGAGCCTTCCCCCCCAGGACACTGGTTGAGGCCACCACCCTCACCAGGGAAGAAGATGTAGTCAAACTTGTGTTCTAGCAGCTGCCGGGTCTCCTGGGGCCCTCCCAGCACCACGGCAAAGCAGCTCTGCAAGGCAGGACAGGTGTGTCCTCACTGTGCACACCTGGAGTGCCCGAGGACAACCTCAGACTCTGCTTGTCCATGACCAGATCCCCAGGCCCAGTCCCACTGTTGCCCAACAAATGAGGAAGCAGAGCTGAGTGGGGGTGTGCCCAGAGAGGTTGGAGCTGGCCAGCTGCTTCTCATCCAAGCTGCATCCTTGCCTGCCCACTGCAGGGGGTAAGGACCCAGGGTTTGCAGACAAGAAGTCCCTGGCTGTTTACCAGGCCAGGCTTTGGTTGGGCCTGGGCCATGTAAGTGACCCTAGCAGACCTGGCCAGTCCTCACAGACCTTGAGGTCTAAACACAGGTGTTTTTGTGTCTCTTGGTGTTTCTCTTGGGTGTGTATCTGGGTGTAAGATGTGTAGGTGGTAAGTGCATCTTCAACCTTCCCAGGTATTGCTACACATGGCCTGCATGTTGCCTCCAGAGAGATTGACTAATTGAAATTTCCCAAAACATTGTATGAAAGTTCCCCTTGTCTCATATCCTTTCCAACACTTGATGTTGTCAGACTTTTTGCTTTTTGCCAATGAGTGTAGTGGGTTGAACGGTGCCCTCCCCCTCTAAAAAGATATGTCTATGCCCTAACCCTAGGAGTCTGTGACTGTGACCTTATGTGGGCAAAAGAGTCTTTGCAGATGTAATTAAAGATCTCAAGATAAGAGATCCCAGATTGGCCAGGGGAGCCCTAAATCCTATGATAAATGTCCTTGTATAAGAAAGAGATTTGAGATAGAAGAGGAGGAGGCCATGTGGAGATGAGGCAGAGACTGCCACAAGCCAAGGAGCCCTTGGAACCCCTAGAAGTTGGAAGAGGTAAGGAAGGACCCTCCCTTAGAGGCAGTGGAGAGAGTGTGGCCCTGTCATACTTGGATTGCAGATTTCTGACCTCTAGAACTGTGGGAGAAGAAGTATCTGGTTTCTAAGCCATGCAGTTTGTGTTTGTGTCCTTTGTTACAACAGTCCTAGGAAACTGACACAATGAGCACGTAACAGTATCTTATAATTGTTTTAATTTATATTTTAACCAATACTGCTGAGGATGAGCATAGTCTCATTTGCTTATGGGCTCCTCAGGTTTCTTATCAGGTCTTTGTTTTTGTTGTTGCTTAGTTTTCTACTGTGTTATTTTTCTTTTGTCTTATCAGTTTGTAGGAATTCTGTATTTTTATAATAGTAACCCTTTTCTGTGTATCTAATTAATAAACTTTATTTTCTAGAACAGCTTTAGATTCACAGCCAAATTGAGTGAAAAATACACATAGTTCCCATATATCCCTTTGTTCCCCACACACATATTCAACATCCCTCACCAGAGAGGCACATGTGTTAAAATCAGTGAGTCCACACTGACACATCATCATCACCCACAGTCCACAGTTACATTAGGGTCCCCACTTGGTGTTATACATTCTGTGTGTTTTGACAAATGCATAATAACATATACCCACCATTGTAATATAGAGAATAATTTCACTGCCCCAAAATCCTCTGTGCTCCACCTGTTCATCACTCTTTCACCCCAACACCTGACAGCCACTACTTTTTTTGTTTTACTGTTTCCATAGCTTTTTCTTTTCTGGAATTCCACATAGTTGGAATCACACAGTATGTAGTAATTTCAGATCGGCATCTTTCACTTAATCATATGCATTTAAGCTTCCCTTGTTTCTTTTCATGGCTTGATAACTCATTTCTGTTTGGCCCTGAATAATATTCCATTGTCTGGGCGGACCATAATTTATTTAACCATCTAGCCTACTGAAGGACATCTTTGATGTCACCAAGTTTTGGAAAATATGAATAAAGCAACTACACACTTCCATGTGCAGATTTTTGTATAGACATAAGTTTTCAACTCCTTTGGGCAAATGCCAAATATTTCTTGCTTACATGGTTTCTGAGAATTCCAATATAATTCTTATTTGTCTTCCTCAGGTATAGATAAGGTGTCCCCCCATCTCTGATTTTTTTCTCTATCTTTGATTTCCTAAAGTTTGAATGTTATATGCCTAGATGTAGCTTTCTTTGCATTTGTCCTGCTTGGTGTGCTTTGAGATTCCTGAATCTGTGGTTTGGTGTCTGATGTTAATTTGGGGGAATTCTCAATCATCACTCCTTCAAATATCACTTCTGTTCCTTTTCTGTCTTCCTTCCAGCTTCCCTATGACATGTAAGTTACACCTTTTGCTATTGTCCCACACTTCTTGGATGTTCTGTACTATTTTTCCCCCAATCTTTTTTTTCCTCTTTGCTTTTCTACTTTGAGTTCCTTGTGTCATATTTTCAAGCTCAGAGATTCTTTCCTCAGCCATGTCCAGGCTGTTAACAAGCCCATCAAAGGCATCCTTTGTTTGTTAACAATATTTTTGATCTCTAGCATTTCATTTGGATTCTTTCTTCAAATTTCCATCTCTCTGCTTACATTATCCATATGTTATTGCATGTCATCTGCCTTTTCCATTAAAGCTCTCAGCATGTTAGTCATAGCTTTCTAAAATCTCTGGTCTGATCATTCCGATGTCCTTGTCATGTCTGACTCTGGTTCTGATGCTTATTTGGTCTCTTCAGACTGTTTTGTTTTGTTTTGTCTTGTTTTTGGGGTTTTGGTTTGCCTTTTAGTATGCTTTGTAATTTTTTTTTTAACAGGGGCCATGATGTACTGGGTTGAAGAACTATGGTAAATAGACCTTTAGAAATGTGGTGAAATTCAGGGGAGAGGAAGGCGTGCTGCAGTCCTGTGGTTAGGTCTGTGTGTTGGTAAGCCTATGGCCCTTGACTGAATTGGAGTGCTTCTCCACTTTTCCTCTTCTTAAATGGGACAGGATGATTAGGGTGGCCTGGAGTTGTGTGTATTTCTCTTCCTCCAGGTAGGGTAGTTTCTTTTTTTTTTTTAATTTTTATTTATTTATGATAGTCACACACACACAAAGAGAGAGAGGGGCGGAGACACAGGCTGAGGGAGAAGCAGGCTCCATGCACCGGGAGCCCGATGTGGGATTCGATCCCGGGTCTCCAGGATCGCGCCCTGGGCCAAAGGCAGGCGCTAAACCGCTGCGCCACCCAGGGATCCCTGGGTAGGGTAGTTTCTGACCTCCTGACCCTAGAGGTCAGGCTCTGGTAAAATCATTTCTGCTGAGGGCAGGCCTTGTTAAGAACAGAAAACTTGGGATCCCTGGGTGGCGTAGCGGTTTGGTGCCTGCCTTTGGCCCAGGGCGCGATCCTGGAGACCCAGGATCGAATCCCACATCAGGCTCCCGGTGCATGGAGTCTGCTTCTCCCTCTGCCTATGTCTCTGCCTCTCTCTCTCTCTCTCTCTCAATCTGTGTGTGACTATCATAAATAAATAAAAATTAAAAAAATAAATAAATTTGTAAAAAAAAAAAAAAAGAACAGAAAACTTGGTGGCTCGGTGGCTGAGCATCTGCCTTCGGCTCAAGTTGTGAGAGTCTTAAAAAAAAAAAAAGTTGTGAGAGTCTTGCATCAGGCTTCCCATGAGAAGCCTGCTTCTCCCTCTACCTATGTCTCTGTCTCTCTGTGTGTCTCTCATGAATAAATAAATAAAATCTAAAAAAATAATAATAACAGAAAACTGATGTATTTCAAAATGCTTCCTTTTACCTCCCCCTGCTGGAAGCATTAAAGGATTTTTTTCTCTGATATTCACTCCAATATTCAAGGATCAGCCAGGTGGAACTCCTGAAGGTGAAACTTATGAAAGTTGTTGGAGGGAGCCTGGAATTTTTCACTCTCAGAGTCATCCACACTGAGCCTCCAGTTGTTCCTTGATTACAGTTCAGATTTTCCTGTGCTGGCACGGGAAAGTTTCTCTTCATAGGTGTGTTTCTGCTCTCTTACATTGTATTACTCTGTATCCACTTGTCTGTCCCTCCAATTCTGAGGGCAGCAGTATGCCCTGCAACTTCACTTCTCTGATGGATTCCAAGAAGAGTTGTTGATGTCTCGGTTTGTTCGGTTTTGTACTTGTGGTTATGAGGGAGATATTCTTGAGAATATCTTCTCTGAGCTGGCACCTGGTGTTCCCATTTTGTTTAAGGTACCATTTGTGAATTAGGTTTTAATGTAATGTTGAAGAAGAGAAGACCAAGCCCTGACATCTGGGAGGTGGGGTGGTACTACCAGCCAGGACTTGTTCTCCTGTTGAACATGAACATGTCCATAGAATAACAGAATCAAAGACATTCTGCAGCCTTGATGCATTAGGACAAAAACAAGACCATTCCATAAACATGACTGAATGCTAACAGGCATGGACACTGTCCAAACCACAATAACGACCACACATTCCTGTATCCTGGTAATATGCATGACTGCTGCAGCTTTACCTTCATGCTCATCTGCACTCTGTATAGTTAAAATTTGTTCAGATACCCAGTCATAGAAAGATCCTTGCTCTAATAGCATCCAACCCGGGGCAAAGCCCAACTTCTTCAAATTTCCCTTGTTACTTTTTAAAAAGATTTAATTTATTTATTCATTCATGAGACACACACACATACACACACACACACACACACACACAGAGGCAGAGACACAGGCAGAGAGAGAAGCAGGCTCCATGAAGGGAGCTTGATGTGGGACTCGATCCCGGGACTCCGGAATCATGGCCGGGGCCAAAGGCAGGCGCTCAACT